AGAGTTTTAGTTCTTGATTGACATACAATACTATTCAACATAAGAAAAGCAAGGATCATACCCAATTTTTTCAGAAGTCGGATAAGAGCACTTGTGAAGGATATAAAACGTCCAGAATCTTCGATATGAAACTTTCCATTCTCCTCTTCAAGAAGATCCTATAAAATAGAACACAAATAAGGCACACAAGAAAACATTCACTTAATTTATTCCAGTGTACAACTAATTTTTTTGGATTTTGATTGAAACTTATTGAATCTCCCTTAAGAGTCATTAAATAAGGTCCCTTTATATATAGAGAGATCACATATACCAATTTGTTTTTGAGTTCCATTAGTTTGTCAGTCTAACAAAGACCTTATTTATTAGGACTCTACATAGTTTATAGAATATTTTATTTTAAACTGACACAAACAAATAAAAAAATTAATGAATTATTAAAATAAGCACAAAGAAAGTGTTATAATTCTACTCTTACTTGAAAAGAAACATTAAAGAAATTAAAAAAATAAAGAATCAAGAGCATAACAATGGGGGGAAAATGCTTCATGAACGGATATGTGTGTGTGGTGTGAACTTGGATATCCCAGTTGGGCAAGCCAAGCTAGTTTGATTGGTCATATTTCAGACAACTCAGCAAGTTAGAACGAGTTCAACCACATGGTTTCACAAACTGAATCTTGCCTCCTCCACACAAAGTCAGGTCATTGTAGTTAACATCAATAAACATATGCATATGCTAATACATACATGAGTGTGAATTTATCATGCAAATATTGGATTCCAAAGTTTGCTGATCCTAATTGTTGCGATGCACCCATTTTCCTTTTCTTGATAACGAGCATCACTCACCCTAATAACATTGACTCATTGATAGCCATATGTTACAAATGATAATGCCTATGTTACAAATGATAGCGCGTATAATGATTCACTCCAGTATTATCATTAAATTTATCATCTATCAATTTGTTCAGGAAAATTCATGCCCTTAGACACAATGTTACCCTAAAACCCCGATCCTTTGTCAATTCACATTCGTAGCAGATAGACCTGCCACATATGTAAACACTCCTCGAGATTCCTTATACAGTTGATCACTGGGCACTGCAGCTGAGTGAGTCGATGAGATCTCCAAAACAGAGTATCATAACAATTGATATATTAAGTATTAAGCTATAAACCAAGTAATAGTATTGCCAGACTGAGTTTAAACAAAGAAAGGAAATCCAGAGAATCAAATTACGAAACCAAACTTAACAAAAAAAAAGGTAAATGGAGAAATTCAAATCATCCTACAAGTAAGAACTACAAAGGATTCACAGAACTGCTACGAACAGCAGCGCATTGAATTGCAGGATACAATTCAGTTTGCAATGGAACAAAAATATTGCATCAATGAAGAATGAAAATAAAAAGATTTCACAGAGAGATATGGTGGGAGAGAGATAGAAAGTATGAGATTGATATGGGAAGAGATAGAGAGAGACTACCTTTTTGAAACTGGGAAAAGCTTCAATGAGAGAAGAGAAAAGCGCATACGGAGAAAGGCCAGAAGAAGCGAGAACACAGTCAACAATGGCAGGGAGAGCAGCAGGTGGAACGGCCCCCAAACACTTCACCACTGCCTCTGCACCTGCCACTGAAGAAGTATCGGAGCAAGCCATCTCCATCTTTATTAATGAGGGTCGGGGCTCCAGAGGAATCGCACAATGTCGATTTGCAGAGATTAGGATCACTATTAGGGTTTCACAATAGCTAACAGGCGGCTTTCAAATAACAAAATAATGGCGGCAGAATGCAAAACCAGCTAACTAGGGTATTTCTCCACTTTGTCTGGGCGGGAACCGCTGTCTACGCATACCAGTCAGAACCCTTTGGGCTAAACTTTCCTTTAATCCATCCGACACCCGGGTGGAGGAAACCGCTTTCTATAAAGCAAACCACTCAGAACCGTTGGGGCTAAAGTTTCCTAATTCCTTTAATCAAACGAGTCAGAACGGCTTTGGGGGTAAACTTTCCTTTAATCCGTCCCACGCCCTGGTGGCGGTGAACTTTCCTTTAACCACATGAGTCAAACGTGATTTGCGTTGGAAATACTTTCCTCAAAACTTTCTAGCAACTTTTCATGAATCATGTATGAACAATTGTTTCATGCGGCTGGACCGCATTTGTATAATATATGGCCGAGAGGTATAAAGCATCTATTTTAAATATGGATGCAAATACGTAGTCCTTTTAAAAACAATAATTAATGGTCCAAATATTTTTTTAATATAATTATTATTTTTAATTTTCAAAATTTATATATCATTTCATGTTTATGATTTCCATGTCAAATATTATATATTCTCTAAAAATTAAGATCAAATTATATTTAAAATATATATTTATTGACAAACCTGCATCGGTAAATGTGCGGCCTTGGAAGCAACCACGCCCATCATGTATTTCAATTTGGACAAAGTCATATAGAGCCTAGGCTCTAAACAATCAAATTATACCCTACATCAAAATTTTCCCTAGAAGAGGTTTTTTCGATGCCTAAATATCTTCAAATAAATCATCTCAACATCCAGATGCATGGACATAAAAAAAAAATTGGAATTCAAGTTTTGGAAATAGTGCAACTTGTTTGTATTTTTTGACATCAATTTTCAAGATTTTCAAATTTTCATATATCTATTCGATCTACACTATTTTTTAAGCTTTAAATTTTATAACTAAATATAAATATATTTTAAGACTATGACAAATATTTCCAGGCATTTCTTGACACTTTTTGAAGGTGGTCTCTACTTTGATTGTTTATACAAACCGCATCAAAGGGTTAGAATCCAACCAAATATTGAAAAATCTTAAAATTAATCATCTCGACAGACATATAGATGTTAAGAAAAAAATTTCAAATTATCTAGATCGTCTATTTTCAAATGTTTATAAATCATTGCTCCATTTTGAAAACTTTATAATTTTATAATTAGGATTGAACATGGATTTAAAGGGTTTTAAGACCCAACTTAATCTTCCAACAAAATTTAGAGGCCTACCTTTCTTATATAGAACAAAGAGGGCAGACTTCACCCTTTACTAGAATATACACATGATGTTAGTATTTTAACATTTCATCTAAATATGTTGATTTAATTTCAAATTTCCCATCAAAATACACATGATTTTGAGTTAAAATAGTAAAATAAATAAATAGTATAATATTAAATACTTTAAACATAAAGTACATTTTGATGAATTTCCCTTTAATTTTTTCATCCATTTGCTGCTCTTGCCTTCGTTTCCACTGTCCACCTTTCTTCAATACCATGCGAAGTGTAAAACCACAATGCTATTATTGTTAGGGTTATTTCAGGCACAAGCTTCTTAAAAATCGTCAGGTCGACTTAATGTAATTGGAATCCAGGTTCTCCAATTCAAAATGGTCTCAAACCATGGAACTGCCCTAGTTTGAACCGCCCTGATTCTTGGTAAAAATTAGGTGATTCCGATGACTAAAAAATTCGTGACCCGATTGATTGGGAATCGGACGACCCCGATCGGGAATCGCTATGACCGTCCCGAATCCAGTAAAAATTGGGGATTCAATCGATTCAGAATAATAGACTTGTCGATAGTTTCGTGGAATCGCTGATTCCGATAATTCTTCACCGAGTCTGGCCGATTCTTCACCAAGTCAAGCGGAAAAAACAGGATGAATAATTTTTCTTGAATTATTTTTTTAAAAAAATTGAGATAAAAATTTTCGATTCGGTCGATTCTTCCGATTCGATCCACCAATTCCTCCAATCCGACACAGGTATTAGTGTGACCGATTCGAGTCACTAATCCATTTTTTTAAACACTCGGTGAATCCCAAGTTTCAAGCAAGTATCATGGAATCTCCGACTCCTTAAAAAAATCCTAATAAAAATCATTTATTTCATGTACCTTTTTCTTGTTTCGTCTTTGATCTTCATTTGGGGCAATTTTATCCCAAATTTAAGTCTTAAGACTTGTTTTCATATCCGCAATAAATTTATGGAATCAGTCGCACTCGATCTACAACCGCTGCCTTCTCATTCTTCCTTTGATTTTTGTAAATTTTGTTTAAATATTTGCATTTTAAAAATAATGTGGATTTGGATAACTTTGGACCTATATTTGTTATTTGTTGATCAACTTAGAGCATGCATCTTTTTCATCCAATTTTTTTTTTTTTAAATATGTATTTTATGATAAATAAGAAAAATGTCATTTTTATTTTAGCATCATTTCTTTTGAAAATATAGCTTTTGTATAGTTACTGGTTTCCCTTTATTTACTATTGATATATCGTGCAATTTTATAAATTTTCAAGAAGTGCTAATTTTTAGGTTTATTTACTATCTGTCCGTAGAAAATCCCCACCCATTTCATTTGTCTCCAGTTGAAAACTTGAAATAGGGTCTTTTTATTAGATCCCAATTTTTTTGGGCTTTCTCTAACTTAAAACAATTAATGTTAGAAAAAGAGCAGCTTAATTGATTAGCACTTGACGATTTGCAACGCTACATCCAAGGCTCAATTCTAATCAAGGGTAAGGGCCCTCTCCCCATTGATTCACCCAAAAAAAACAACTTTTATTAAAAAGACTATTTACCTTCAATACAGGAGCTCAAAATAAGTTATAACTAGATGTGAAATCAAAATAACTTATAACCGTCTGATATAAAATCTAATAACTTGTGTGTATCATAAAATTCGAAAAAATGTATTTTAAATTTGAAATTTGGTCAATGAAATATATGCAGCCACCAAAATTCATGATCAATAAGTACTCTCTAATCGAAATAATATATAGTTTTCTGTATCTTATTTTTATACGCATAGAAATAATATATGGTTTTCTTTATTTTATTTTTATGCGCGTAGGTTTAACTAAATGTACTTTCTATGACAAGGAGGTGAGTGACAGATCAACCAGCATGAATTTTACCATGTGAGGGTGAGAGAGAATGTGCAGGTATGTTTAAATGTAACAGTGGTTGTAAGCGAACAAATGTTAGATATCATTAATGTCAACAAGGACAAAAAGTTTGCGAGATAGAAGATGTGAGAAAGTATATAACGAGACCATTTACTTTTGCTACAAAGTGGTATCACAATTCATCTTGATTTTTTGGATGTGAAATTTGGTGACTACATTTATTTCTTTGACCAAGCTCAATTTTCAAAAGAAATTTATTCGAAATTTGTGACACACCTAAACTATGGTATTTCACATCGAATAGTTGTAAATAATTGTGACATCCCTATATCAAAAGTAAATGATCACATTCTATACAATCCTAGAATATATTGTGGAACAAAGGATAAGAAGTTCATGCCCCACTCGAGCTTGTAAGGAGCACAAATTTGGAGTATAACACCGCTTGAGGAGTGGCATGATGAACAAGGTCCATAGCAGCTACCACGTGTGGTACAAAGGGTCCTATGGGTCAAGGACTACCTCAACGTATGTTGCTTAGAATATTAAGGGATGTAATCTGGCGAATAAGTTTCATAGAGAAGGGTAGGGTGATGCAGAGGAAAAATAATAAACAAAAAATTAAAAAAAAGAGTGCCCCCTTCATCACCATACAATAATATTTTATAGAAGTTAATATTCTTTCTTGAACTTCATCTACTTCTTTAACAAAGTATAATTCCATTTTCTTTTATGGACATTCATATGCACGATGTCTTGTTTCATTGTGCCGATAATAAGTAACATTTGAGGGATGTTTCTTTTCTTTATTAAATTTTGGTTAGTGCAAAACTTCATTTTGGGTAAAAAAACACTTATCAATGCTCCATTAGAATTTGGTCTCCACTCATAAAGCAATTTGAAAAGCCTCACTTAACGTCTATGGCTAATGTGGAAAGACCTCATCTCTAATGGTTAATTGAAACTCATTTACATACCGAGCAACTTTTTGTCCTTTAGTCTCTTGCAAGTAGTTTTGAGCTAATAGTTTGTAAAATTCCCCAATATAATCCTCCACTTTCTTTTTATTCTGTTGAAGATTTTTGAGATTTTGATAGAAAATTTGCTCATGATCTACAGTAAGAAAATTTCCTTTCAATTTCTTTTCATTTTTTGCTAGTCAAATAGTTTTGCATTCTCACTATGAATTGGTTTTGTTGAACTTGCTCTCACCGAGAAGCAGCATGACCGTGGAGCTTGGTTGCAACAAATTTAACATTATGCTCCTATGGCAATTCACTCCACTCGAAAAAAAATTCAACTGCACTCAACCAATAAATAAAAGCCTTTATGGTGAGCTTACCATGAAATTCATGTAAATCGACTTCAATATCAAAATCTTGCGCATGCTCTAGGATGAGGATCTTGCCTGCAAATTTGCGCGTTATGCCCAAGATTAGCTCTTTGAGTTAGTCGTGGGACTATTGGTGCCAGATCTATGTTCGTGTGAGCAACTTCTAGATGAATTTCATTGTTTTCCAACTGTTGCAACTGCTCATTGATTTCACAAACTTCACTTCGAATATCTTCCATGACTTTGGTTAGACCTTCTAAAATATGTGACTTACGATCATCCATTGTGGGATTCGGTTTCGGTGATATTGCAATGGTTAGATCTTCTTCGCTCTGATACTAACTGATGTTGGGGAAAAATAATAAATACAAAATAAAAATAAGAGGTTTGAGAGACTATACAATCTTCTAGGGATCTTTTCCCAAATTATGTACTGAATTCACCATTTCCCACGACCTAAAAAAAAACTATAAAAAATAAAATTAATATTTTCAAATAGCCAATTTTGTTTTCATCATGGGGGCGAGGAGCACAAGATGAGGGGGAAGGATAAGAGGGTATACCTCCTTTGCCCACTTAACCCACCGGTTCCACGGTGTTTTAGTAGGCACGAATTGACTCATAGAAACCATGTCCTTTCTAAGTAGGACATGGTTTTTATGAGTCACCACTTAAAAATCTATTTTTGAGATGGAGTTTGGACTTAATTTTTAAGGATATGTAATCTCTAACATGGAGATCATGAATATGGAAAAATAAATAAAAATTGAAAATTATGAATAATAATTATATTAAAAAACATTTGGACCGTTAGTTTGAATTGTTTTTAGATGGACCACCTATCTGTTTCCATCTTGAAGATGGATGCTTTATACCTTGGGACCGCATATTGTAGAAATGCACTCCAGCCCGCATGAAACAATTTTCATTAAAAGTATCCATCGAAGCAGCCTAACATCAACACAAGATTCACCTACACAACAAGGATGTAAATTGTTTTTACAATGTTGTGATCCCTTTGGGCGCCTATTGTTTCTACTATTCCTAATGCAAATCCTTGAGTCAAGGCCTACACCACAACTGAGTTTGTATGCATGCGATGGTACTCCATATTTCCATGGTAGTGTAGATACCACAGGAATAGTGAATGATGGTAAGTTTGTTGGATAATGTGATTAGGGAGGTTGCCGAGGAGTATGTCGTTCGAGTTGTAATTGACAACGTAAATAATTGAATCCATGCAACGTACGAGCTAATAAAATTGAAGAAGCATTTGGTATGGATCCCAGTGTAGCCCACTGTACTAACAGTAGAAGACCTTGGCAAGCTCAAGAGTGTACAATAGATTGTAGATATGGATCACAAGGTTTGTATACACCACTACCCGTCTTAGCTTTGATGAAGCAATAAATTAATGGAAGGGAGTTGATCAGACGTGGTGGCATCTCATGCTCCTTCAATGGTGGTGTTATGGGATAGAAGAGAGTAGATAGTAGCAACCACAACTCCTTCAATGGTGGTGTTGCATATGGCAAATCCTGATATGAAGATTGCTAATGTGTGAAGCACATCGCAATTAACACAAAGGTAAATGGTTAGGCATATAAGGTTCTTAAAAAATTAAAATGTTATTATGATTTATTACTTATGATGGTGCAAATAATTAACCATGTAATTTTCTCTTAATGTTTGTTATTTCTTCAACCTTGAATATAAGTTGTAGCATTGAGACAGTCAGAATCGCCACTTAGCTGAGCCGGGTAACTCAGCAAGTCCGAATGGACTCGCTCGAATCCTATATAAGGTAAAAAATCTCTAATTTTTTTTAAAAAAAATATGAAAAAAAATAAAGAAGATAGTAAAAGTAAAACTAAAAGCAACCTCAAAAAGTCCAAATAATCTTTAAAAAGTACAAAAAATGAATCTAAAGAAAAATGGTTTCTAGACTTGCTAATATTTTCCAAAACCAACTAAATCATCCTCATCATCAAAATCATTTTACCAACTATTTGGGGTTGGCTATTCGATACCTCATCCGTCATTTTGCTCTATCAATGGCCATATCCTTAGTGAAGCCATAAGTCCTTACATCTTTTCTCACTATCTCCAACCATGTCCTTTTGAGCTTACCCCTTACTATTTTTTAGCTTTTCCACTTGAACTAACTTGTAGTTCCTGACGGGTGTTGTACTGAATCTACGTTGCACATCAAATCATATACAAAAAATTTATACATCATTCCCATTACTTTTAAAATTTTTTAGATTTTAAAAAAACTTTATGTACCCAAGTTATACATGCAGCATGGGGCAACTAGCCTCGCCTATAGGGTGAGTCCAAGTAACTCACCCAAGTCTGAATGGGACTCACGAGTCCAAGTAACTCACCCCAAGTCCGAATGGACTCGTGGGAGTCCCATGACACTTATGCAACAAGACAATCACTTCATCCCAAAGTCATGGACATGGTGAAATATTGCCTCAAAAGATTTAAGCAAAGTGGAAGGAGATGGATTGAAGCTTTGAAGGAGGTAAGAAATAACTTTTTGTGAATAACTTTCATAACTAATTGCATTCGTGAGTAATTTAAGCCACATTTTTAAACACTAAACCATGTTCTTTTTTCTTAGATTCATACATACATTGATGAGCAAGAAATGTTTGCAACTAATCTTGCTATAAAATTTCAAGTCTTTTCATATGAGCTGCTTCTCATTCATCTAATTTTATTGTCATTTATCATATAAGCTGCTTCTCATTCATCTAATTTTATTGTCATTTATCATATAAGCTGCTTCACATTCTTTTAATTTTATTGTCATTTAAAAGCTTTTTTATGAGTGATTTCTCATTTTTTCAACTAAGTGGTGGGAGATACATGGTCCCAGAGCACCACATCTCAAGAGTTTAATAATCAAGGTGCAGAGTCAAACATATTCAGCTAACAGTGTGTGTGTGAAATTTGAGTATACTCCAGCTGATCCACACTGTAAGTTGGTTGCTACTAGGCTTTAGAAAGTGGAAGGCTTTTTTTTTTGGGTAATTAAGTGGGGAAGTCAGGCCTCTACCTGTTTTTTTCATATAGTTACGGTGGATGGGATCGTGGGTTAAGAGAGGATACCCAAGTTCCCTAACCGACATACTTATTCCTCAATTGAATTGGATATACCCAATGACGATCATCAGAATCGTGGTGCTTGGGATGACTTCGAGCCACAATCATCAATAATGTTAGCTATAATTTGTGTATTTCGACTTATTTATTTATATATAATTTTGACATTTGATTTCTTATATAGATCATACAATCATTATGTACTCATTTTGCATTATGGAATGAACATGGGGTACTCAGACAAAAACCTTTATTATCTTTAATTTTTAAAAATTACATCAAAATACATAATCATGTAAAATTTAAAATTAACACAATATAAATTTTATAGATTATCATTTTTATTATTGGTTATGATTGACACATGACTTGCTAGGGCAACTCGGCCCCGTTCATGCCCAAATCAGCACCTAATTTTGAGTCCAAAGCACTAAGGTTTACCATGTATATGGTTCCAACTCTGGTGTTAATATGAATTTCAACTTTGTAATTACTATCAATGGCAGGTTCGAACTAGTTTTCGCTAGTTTTTTTTTTCCAAATTGCCAGTTCAGTTACTAGACTGGACCAAGGTCCATGCCTTTTTCTTGGTCCAAAAGTCAAGAGAGGTTGGTCTGGTTCACTCTTAATAGCATTGAGAATGACTGAACATCCAACAGTAGCTCTCTTTTCCCCAACCTAAGCTAGGTTTGATACTACATAGTTTCTTGAAAAATAAAATCGTGTTAATTGTTTTCTCAAAATTCTTTCATGTCATAGTTTTTCTTGAACGTCCACCTACTCATTACATTTACTAGAGAGGTAACTACATGGTAGCTAACCAACAACTCAATCTGCAAGTCTGATAAGATCTCTAAGGTCTAAACCACTTTGAGGGAGAATAGAAACGGCCAGTCCCAAGCCTGCATAAAGGGGCAGGGTTGCGTTAGGTAAAATAGTCACTATAAAATTTTACTGCATCTTTTCATGAATCCCAAACTTATTGGCCCTTGATAGATAGAGCTTAAATAGCATAATAGGATTCGTGTAGCCAACCCAGATAGTTGGGATGAGACTCGAATGATGATGATAATGGTGATGCACTGAATCATAACGAATATTTCGTATTTGAGATGTTAGAAGTATGTGTCCAAAATTTGGACCCGGCGAGTTAGGTCAGGGCCCAAATCTTGGACCCAAACACTATTCGGGTCTGGGTTCGTGTTTGGCAGGACCCGACCCAACCTGTTGCCAAGACCCGAAAATATAATGTGGGACCAAGACCTGACCTGATCCGCGGGGTCCAATTTTTGGACCCATACCCAGACACGGATCGGGTCTACCCTTTTGTCTCGGGTCGGGTCTGAGTCCATTGCCAACCCTACCCATGGCCTCATGCACCAAATGATGTGTCACTCATCAACAGGACAAGACCAATAAAAAGCCACTCATAACATGTCAACATTATATCCAATTCTGGCCGGCCACCCCAAACGAATCCCTAGACTCAAAACGACAATCACTAAGCCATCAACTCTTCTCTCACATGCACACTATACATCCCCCACCACCATCTCTCTTCCCATTCTCAAACCCCACAACAATGGAGACTCCATCCACATCTATTCTTCTGACTCTCACTCTAACCATCTCAAGCCTTGTTCTAGTGAGAAGTGGAGACCCTGATATCCTCTCTGATTTCCTCATCCCACCCACTCTAGACCCAAGCACCGTTACTAGACAATTCTTCACTTTCACAGGGTTTAGAAACCTCAGGAAGGCCAACTTAACAGGGAAAACCAATGCTTTAATCACCAAGGCCACAAAGAAAGAATTCCCAGTTCTTCATGGCCAAAGTGTATCAGTTGCCACTCTATTGTACCCACCATCTGGTATAAATCCTCCTCATATTCACCCAAGAAGTGCTGAGCTATTGCTAGTTCTTCAAGGGGAACTCGAGGTTGGTTTTGTCGACTCGACCAACAAATTATTTGTACAAACACTTAGAGCTCCTGATTTGTTCCTGTTTCCAAAAGGATTGGTGCACTTTCAGGTAAATAACGATGCGCATCTTCCAGCTGCTGCAGTTGCAATGTTTGGGAGCTCAGATGCAGGAACAATCTCTATTCCTAGAGGGGTCTTTGGCAGCGGGATCAAAGACGATATCTTGGCAAAGGCCTTTGCAACTGATAAGGAAACGATTGCGAAGATCGTGGAGGCGAATGAGCCTCTCACTTAGAAGTTTTCTTTTGGGTAATTTGGTGGGAAAGATAGGCCTCTACACTTTCGCTTTTTTTTTTTGAAAAGTTTTGGAGTTAGTTTTTTCTGAAGGAACCAGTAAAGTGGTGTCAGTAGAAATGAAAACCACAACGACTACGGTACGAGATGCTACCACCACGACCTCTTACTTAAAAGTTGGGAATGGCATTGCAACAAGTGAAGAATCGCTACTTTGAGTTTCTAATGTTAGTCTCTCTCTTCTTTGTTAATTTCTTCATGTTTTTGGGTCTCTCTCTAAAAAGTGATGCTGGTTACCTTCTTTGTGTGTGTTAGGGTGCCATTCTTGTGGATCCCTCTCTTCCTAAATTGCTACAGTTGAGGTGAGTATGTTGTATAATATAGTTTACCCACTGGACAGTGGAGATGAGCTGCAGTGGCTTATCTCCACCCTCTATTTGATGAGGATGTGGTTGAGGAAACAACAATGGATGAGCAATAGAAACTACAGGCAATTAAAAGCTAACCTTAAAAAGCAAAGGTAAACATTTAACTGTTGCAGAATACAATATTTTAACTTCTTTTAGCCGTATCTAGTGATCTATATCTACGGGAGAATAATACTGAGCTATAGTTACTGGTTCAATTGAGATTAAAGTGAATACAAGGCCTAAAAGCCTTCAAGCAATGGATTATCTTTCTCTACATAGTCTCTTTTATAGCAAGACCAATAACACCAAGTATAATGGTTTTGCACTTTCTCCTCTAAATCAGGGAACACAACACCCAATGATAGAACTCACACTTTTACTAAATTTTTTATTTTTTTTTTTAACGATGTTACGAAATTTTATTACTCGACAGAGATTATGAACAAGCTATACACTTTCACTGCTTTCTTCCGCTAGAACAAAATAGTTATCAATCCCTTTCTCTCGACGACTTAACATATCACCACTGTTGGATTAATATTCAATTGAGGAGCTCAAAACAAGAGAAGAAGACTCAAATAATTCATACATGTGACAAAGTAGCACATATGTGATTTGGCTTCACACACTCAACAAATTTATGGTGGATCGAAGGTATATGTAAACCATACTATATGTGTGTAATACAGAGTCCCTTCTCGTTGTAGGTATATCATAGTAATCTATATACCTACATTCTAATAAAAGTGTGTTTTATACAACGTTGCAAACTTAAATAATCAAATTAAGGCACACCTCTAAATTTTATCATAGCAAGTAATTTTGGTATCAAAATTTTTAGGATGAATTGAAAATCTATTTTAATCTCTAATTATAAAATTTTAAACTCTAAAAATGGTCCAAATCAAGTAGATCTATAAATATATGAAAATCTTGACAATAGACGGTCCAGATAATATATTGCAAGATGTACTATTTTTAGGACTTAAAAAATATATATATATATATTTTTTCATATTCATCTATATCGACGTCGAAATGATCAATTAATGGATTTTTTAACATTAAAGTCGTATTTTCGGATGGAATTTTAGGTGCACTTTAATTCTGCATTTTAAAATTGCAACCTTATATAAACTTTTTCCTTCTAATAAGCGCATTCCTTTAAGCATAGCAGTTAACAAACGAAATATTCCTATAAGAGCAGGGCATTGAATGAACGTAATCCTCTAAGAGCAGGGCTCTTAATATGTTACCCGATGAACATTTTTAAAATCTCTTAGCTTCGATCAAATTTGGCCAACCTCTGTGGTTTCAAGCACTAAATAGAAACTGGGATAGATATGTAAGTTTGATAGTAAGCCTAGTAGCGTTGACTCCATATCTATGTTCTTTGGTCATGGACAAGTTAACTAAGCATTTAGATGGTGTTGTCGTAGTACATGTTATTTACGAGTGACAATTTTGATTGACAATACTAGAGATGGCGCAATACAGATGAGGCCATAATATATGAACACAATTTTAGTAAAAAAACAAGGGCAAAAATGAAGAATTAGTTATCTTGATGGTTAAGAAGTACATAAATGAGCTTATGTTCGATATTTTGGGTCGATAATCTATGAAAAAAGAAAGACTGAGGAAGATGTTGCTAATTAGAGTTAGGTGGACGAAGTGAAGATGTGCTTCTGGAGTCTTATGTGATTGTCACTTGCTAATAAAATTAAAGGCAAAGTTGAGATGGATGAGTGCCAAGACAATGAATGATAGAATTCAAAATATATACATTCGAGAGAACTTAGGGCTATCTCCAATACATGATAAAAATATAGGAAAGTAGACTTAGGCAGTTTATTCATATGCAACATTAACCTATAACAACATCCGTTAGGAGAGGTGATTTAGTTTGAGTGGAAGACACTAAAAGGATAAGGGAAAAGACCTCAAAGGATATGGATGAAAGTAGTTGATCTAATAGCTTATGGTCAAATTGAGGGTATGACCCTTGATAGAGCGGAATGGCATAACATGATTGATGTAGCCAACCACAAATAGTTAAGATAAAGTTTGGATGATGATGATGATTTGGATTGGAATCGCTTGATCAAAGTCGAAAGCCGGTGGTAGCCAACATTGTTCCTAGTTGGAATTGATAATTGGTTCGGTTTTGTTAGTGGCATTCTAGACTGGTTAGATCGACTGGTCCCATTTATTCCATTTTTTTTTTATTGACTGATTCTCACTTTTGGTTTCTGATACTTGATCTACGTCGACAATCAAATCAATTTCCTAAATAACTTATTCACCCAATAGGTTTGTTTAAAACATTGTTAACCAACTTTCTTCAGGTAAATAAGGTGCGTTATTTAATCAAGGGTGCAGTTTGTATAGATCCTAAGATGGATCTAAACAATCAAAGTAAAGTCACCTTCAAATAGTGTCGAGAAATGTGGTTTCAATACTGGAAATCTTTGTAATAGCCTTAAAATATGTTTTCATCACTAATTATAAATTTAAAGCTTAAAAAATGGTGTAGATCGAGTAAATCTATGAAACTTGAAAATCTTGAAAATTGACGATCCAAAAATCTAATATAAGATGCACTATTTTTTAAATTTGAAATCCAATTTTTTCTCACGTACAACCATCTTGAGGTCCAGATGATCAATTTGAGGATATTTGGATATTAAAACAACTTATTCTAATTTGATTGTTTAGAGCCTTGCACTTATAAAAACTTTTTTTTTTAGGGGCCGTTTGGGTACATGGAAATTTATTATGTGACAATAGATTACAAGCAAATATGACTATTTCCACCGTTTGGGTACACTTAATAGTAAAGAAATGGAAAGAGATTACACAAGATTTCCCAAAAAATGAGGAAATCTATTACGCGTGGTCATAGGTGAAAAATCTATTACAATAGTCACGAGTAATTTTGAGAAATCGTTCGCGTGCGTTTTTTCCTACTCTATCCCTCTTCTAAATCTTTCGCGTGCGTTTTTTTCTACTATCCCTCTTCTAAACCCTCTCTCTTCATAATAACTAGGTGATCCCTCCCTCCTTGTCCCCTTATCTGAAGTCATCGACTGTCATATAAAAATAAAAATAAAAATAAAAATAAAAATAAGTAATTAATAATAAATTATACAATCTAATCATAATAAAAAATTTCACACAACATATTGTGATCCCTCATTTTTTAAATTTGTCCCCTTATCTGAAAGCATGAGTATCATGTAAAAATAACAATAATAAAAATAAAAATTAGTAATCAATAATAAATTACACAACAAAATTATAATAAAAAATTCACACAACGTAATCCTCATAAGAGATTATTAAAATCTCAATTAAAATAACATACATTTTTAATCTCTTCCAATACCTCAAAATTTTATACTGCAATTACTGAACCTTTTAGTTTACTAATCAACCTTCTTTCCATTTTTTAACTCATACCTTACAAATTTTGAATTTAATATCATAAATTTATTGTTTATTTGAAATTATATAGAGAGACATTTGAAGGACTTCTATAAAAAATAAATAAAAATAAAGCTTATCATAATAAAATCATGTTATTCGAATCATATTGTTCTAATGACTTATCATGTTGAAACCAATGTCATGTTAAAAAACATGAGATTGCATATAAATGTCAAAAGCATTTAAAATAAGTAGAAAATAGTGTCAGAACTGTAAAATGATACAAGTTATTATTAGAAAATATTTTTGGAACGATGTGATGATGATTTTAATTCAGTATTTTAGTGGAATTTTGTGACAAAAAAGAAGGAAATGATAGTTCTGTATTTTAGTGGAATTTCGCGACAAAAAGAAAAGCAATGATAATTTATAGGCACGTGTTCGTATTTCCTATATTTCTTCTAGACATAGCCAAACAATAACAATGTATTTTCCATGTTGCATTTAAATACTACCCAAACGGTAACAATCCCAGATAATTTATTACGCAGTAATATATTTCACAGATAATATATTTACAAGTATCCAAAAAGCCCTTAATGAAAGCGAATCACAAAACTAATGTGAACCTAAAAGCCCATAAGACTTGAAGGGCATTACTGCCCCCGTCTAGACATAGATAAGGGTTTTGATGAACCAGGGGGGTCTGGCTCCACAAAGGCCGGCTTTGGACCCCATGTAGGTTGTTGGAACAGCGCGACGGCGCAAACCTTTTTGTCAAAGCCCTGAAGGCCTATTTTAAATTAATAGGGTTCAAATGGGCCTGGGACCACTTGAGCGTTAGGCCCAACATGGAATAAGGTTGAGCGAAATCAATTGGGCTAGATTGTCCCGAAACTTATGATCCGTCAGCTCACCATACCATACCATACCATGTCCGGACTTAGAATCTCTTAGCTTAACACGCTAGGCCCGGTCCACTTCTACCCCTAGACAACGAGGAAGAACGCCGATCTAGACATAGGTGTGGCAACGAGTGAGGTGAGACCGAGCGGAGCAAGAGAAAATGACATGAGATCCAAATCCAAACCTGATCGCATCTGAATTCATCGAACCCAGATCCAAACTATTAAATATAGAGTGAGACCCAAACGAGAGGTAGTTGTGAGATATACGTCCACACTGTAGGACATTTATTGGAGAGAGAATCCGTATGGAGAGAGTATTTATTGGTTGGTTGCGGAGAGAGAGAGAGAGAGAGAGTGTATCATACTCGTTCGAACAAGCAATGTATGGATAAAAAAGTTCTGGACGGGGGCTAATTGTAATTTATGTCTTATTTACGGGGTGGCTCCCCACGCGAAAGAGGAGGCTGTGGGCATGGCATATTGTTCTCTTCCCCCATCACCACCCCTTCTCTCTCTCTTAACTCTCTCTAACCCATAACTCACGTTGACGCTATAATTTATAAGGAAAAGGGCACACCACTTCTCTCGAACGAAAGTAGGAAGCCCCCCCGGCCGCCACCTCTCTCTCTCTAGCTCAATGTTTCCAATCCAAGTCTAGAGAGAGAAAGAGGAGAGAGGGATGGCGCGGTGGTGTATGGAGAGAGAGGGGGAGGGCGGGGTGGATGTGGAGAGAGAGAGAGAGGGTGGTGTGGTGTGGTGGGGTTAGGCTAGGCAAGGCAAGCGGCGGAGCGGTGGGGATCTTAGATCTCGAAATCAGCCGTATTAGTCGGCTTCTCCAAATGAAAAACCTCTCCTCCTCCTCCTCCTCCTCTCCTCTCCTCTCTCTCCATATATCTTCTGTCAAACCCTGACGCCACTTTCTCTCTCTACCCTACCCTCGCCTCCCTCTTTCTCTCTCTACCCAACAACCCTTGTCTCCGTCCTCTCTCTCTCTCCCCATGGCTCTCGCGGCTCCCACCTCCTCCTCGTCGTTACCTGAAGGAGACGCGGAGCCGGAGCCCTCTCTCTCTCCTCGCCCTAGAAAACCCCCTGGTCCATGGACCCACGAAGAAACCCTAGCTCTGATAGACGTTTACCAAGAGAAATGGTTCTCTCTCAAGAGAGGCCAGCTTAAAGCTTCGCATTGGGACGAAGTTGCAGAGCTCGTGTGCCTTCGTTGTGGCTATTCTTCGCCTTCTAAGACCGCTACACAGTGTCGACACAAGGTCGAGAAGCTTCGCAAGCGGTACCGAACAGAGCGGCAGAAAAACCCTGATTATTCTTCGTGGCCGTACTTTCGAAAGATGGAGTTCATGGAGAGCCCTGGCCTCCCGAAGAAAAACCCTAACCCTCGTGCTAGCCCTAGCCCAAGCCCCAATTCCTCCATCCCCAATGGCATTCCTCTTCAGAAGGTGAGGTTTGTCTCTGATACGGGACCAAGGCCCCTCACTTTCAATGCAGTGAAATTAAATCGGGAAGATGCAGAGAGGAGCTATCTTCCTTCTCCTCCTCCTCATCCTAGGTCGCAGAGGAGTTGCCCTTCTTCTAGGGCTGGGGTCAAACATGCGAGAGATCCTATCTCCGAGCTTACTTCAGTTGTGAAGTGTATTGGTGAGGGTTTCATGAAGCTTGAGCACATGAAGATGGAAATGATGAGGGATATGGAAAGGATGAGAATGGAGATGGAGATGAAGAGGATGGAGATGGTTCTTGAGTCTCAACAACATGTCGCCGAGCTCTTTGCTCGGGCCTTGTATTCCACGAAGAAGTTTAGGAGGGATCCATCATCTGAGTCCTAGAGGGATCGTAAGGGTGAGCTCTTCTTTTGGGTAGTTTTGATGTAAGACCTTTTGGAGATGGGTTTTGTTGGTTTAGGGTTTTGGTGGGGTTTAGGGGCCTGTACTTGGGTTTTAGAGAAGCTAAGTATGTGGCATTTAATGAAGGATAGCTCCAGGGAAGCCATGGTCTTCTCTCTGTGACTGTTGCTCTAACGGATACTCCATACTCCTGCTATGTTATATGCAGCGTGAATCTACTGAGAAAACTGAGAATCCCCTTTACAGCAAATAAAGGTTCTTCTTTTGTCTCCTTTGGCTACCTGGCTCTGTATTATATGGTTATTTTTTGTTAAACTATATGGAAATTGTCAAGGTTGGAAGAGCACAGTCTAGTTTATTGTTTCTGGATTCTTGTCTGTAGATGTCCTTCTATCTTATATAACTACTCAGTCTTTCTTGAAGATGTGACATTCGAATGTTTGGTTCTGTTCTTCTGTGATTGCCTTCTTCCTTGCCCTCAAATATCTCTATGTGTATCTTTATTTGATTTTGTTGATACAATTTTCAATTGTTAATGCAATTGTTTATTGGCTGGATTGTAGCATCCTCATAGTCTATGGTAATAATTCCCCCTATTTTGATGCCATCCTCTGTAGTTTTACTTACTTCTTTCATGCTTATGACATGCCTTTTCTTTTTTTGTTTTTGATAGTTACCATATCTGATATGCTTATTACGATGATTTAAGTGTTTAGAAATTGCTCATGATATAAGATGGGGTTCTAGCCTGGGAAGAATTTTTATAAAGAAAAGAAAGATTATTAAAGATTTCAAGGAGTTGTTGCGGAGTCTTTGATAAGTTGGGTATCAAGTGATTGTGCAGGAGAGGTTTTTTTTGTTTTTTTGTTTTTTTTTTGGTGTGTGTGGTGGGGGGGGGGGGTGGGTTGGTGTTTGTTGAATAGATTTTTCTCGTTTTGATGATTGTGCATTTGCCCACTTGTGTAAATGCTTTGTTCATTCTGGCTTATGGATGGGAACTCATCTTCTTGAATTACATGATAGTGGTTATTTCCATTTCTCATCAGTTCAATATGTGTGCTTCTGAAAATAGGTTTTTCCTGTATTTTGCTAGTTATGTTTTCAGCTTATAGCCCTTGGAGGTCCCTTGGAAGCGATTCAAGTGCTCATTTCTGTGGGCTAACTCTTTATCAAAAAGGAAGTTCTGTGGGCTAATTTAACTATGGTTAACAACAATGGCATTCAATTGTCGAATCCATCTTTTGTAGCCTATCAAATTACAGTTGACTACAATGCATTCATTTACTCAATCCATATCTAGGTTAAGGACACAAGAATACTATTTAATGACCTCTAAATCGGTTGCAGAAATCAATGCAAAGTGAGTGCATGAGTTAGTGGAAAAATAAAAATGGAAAAATGTGAGATCAATCAAAAGTTTGTAAAGCCTAGTAATTTTCGTCTGTTCTAACTTTTGATTGAAGGACGGCATAGGGTGTTATATGTTGACATTGAGGCAAACTACTACTAGAGGAAAATCGATTTTGCTTTTCTAGGTTTTTACTTAGCGCTATAATATTGGACTGCTTGAATTACTGTGGTTTGATTATTGAGTCCCTTTGAACCTACTTGATTTATTACAAGTAGATATGAATATGATGGTTGTAACTTGTGACACATGTATGGGATTTGAACAATATAATAGTGTGTACTGAGATTATGATCATATGAGTTGCAGATATGGAGGTTAGAAACATGGATAAGCTGTATCACTGATTACGATTTCCTCAAATTTATATCTCTTGTATGATTTGATTTTTTTGCATGTTGCTGCTCCAACTCATCACTTGGATAGTGTTCTGTACTATGGGCTCGTGTGCCTGCTTGTTGGAAATTTTGATTCATTAGCAATTGAATCTTGGATCAAAGTTATGAAGAGCTTTAGTGCTTGACATTGCGATGTTGAGGTTTGGATATGATCACATGCCAAATTTTCTGATTGCAATGCCTGCGTTTGGCCCATGATCTAGTTTGTCCTTCACTGATGTCTACTTTCTCTTCTTTTTTATTTGCTCTATCTTTCTTACCTTTAACACAATGTACTCAGATTCTCTTGACATAGCTCCTTTGGATATACTAGTGGAGATTCTTGATATTTTTTGAAGATCCCTTGCATTCATGAGGGTTCTGTCACTTTCATTTTAAGCCTAAAGAAATTTATTACCTTACAAGGGTCCCTGCCTGTAGCAAGTCTACATTCATTCCCAATGTTTATACTAGTTCCAAACTTTCCAAACTCATTTAAAAGCAATCCACCTTGATGAGAACCATCTCTTGCTGCAATTTCACACTATTTCATTGGTGGAGAAGGGCTCTGGTGTCCAAGTTGATGTTTGTTCTCACACCAAGCAAGTTTATTGACTTGCTAGGGTGGTTGATCAAAGGGCACTAAAATGTCGAATGAATGGTTTGCTGCTTAAAATTGTGAAGGCTTTTGATCTTATTATTTATGCAGCCTTATATTTATTATTGACATTTGACTGAAGGAGAACACCTCGACATTTTTGTGCATGACGTTGATTGCATAATCTATTGAGTTGAGCATGATTTATTGACTCGTATAATGTTTTAGGAGGATTCCTATCATGGTTTTATATATGCCAATACATTTCTGCTGTTAGCTGCATTTTTTCTTTTTTTAAATTGATAAATAGCTTAGAGTGGCTCCAATAGGCAAAAAGATGAGGAAAAGTAGACTTTGGTGGGTTGTCTATGTGCAACGTCGACGTAGAAAAACACCCCTTAAAAAGGGCGATTTGGTGCAAGTGGAAGGCTCTAAAAGGGTAAGGGGAAGGCCCAAAAGAGATGGATAGAATTAGTGTGAAGAGATATGGTGATTTATGGTCTGATGGAGGGTATAGCCTTTGATAAAGTGGAATGATGGAACGAGATTTGTGTAGCTGACCCTAAATAGTCGGGATAAGATTCAAGTAATGATGATAATGATGAAGTATGAGCAAAAGGGAAATGCTCTTCTTGGTCTCTTGGCTGAATCTCTCACAAATTACCTTTTATATTTTAATCTTAGAAAGAGTCTTTTGCCTCCTATAGTGAACTGGGGTTTGGTTGCAAGTTACTCATTCGTGGTCAGACTCCAAAGGGCGAATGGTATTGAAAAGAGAAGGCTGAATGGGTATTGATAAAACTTTATAACTTGGGGTCGGTCTTGTACTATGATCAATGCAAGAACAGAAGTAATCTATGCTTTTGTGCTTTTATATTGTTGCATCTGCAAAGGAGCCTTGTTCTTCTATTGGTGCCGTGAGTAAACTGCTTTGCCGTGTTAGATCTCCTTACCTTTAGAGGAGCCTTTATGTGGGATCTAGTTTCTTGTAATGTTTGAAAACCTTGATTGATGGGGGTGGATCGTCCACCCCATATATTCAGGTCGGATTGTAGATCTGGATCGATATGAATTGGTGATCCAAAAGAATAGTTAAAAATAAAAACTAAGATTAAGATTAAGATTATTATTTTTGGTTTTTTTTTTTTTGGAGAGGTGGGGGGGGGCTGGACCTAAGAAAATACTTGATATGATACTAGATATGCTTAAAAAAAAAACAAAAAGAAAGATATGAAATAGGGGCTTCTTTTCGTTTTTAGCGAGGAGGTGGGGGGTGACTAGGCCGGTTCATCCGTCCGGTCTCACCCATTGAAGGTTGAACAACTCCAGCTCCGGGAAAGACCCATGTTAGTTATTATGGTATATAAGACCTAGTAGACCAGCTGTTATTTGCATGCGGATTTATGGGCACATCATTGAGATCCTCTGATGCAGGAATGTCTCTTGGTCTTCGACTTGGAGGGAGATTCAAACGATTGGAAAAAGAAGGGTGAATCCATTAGGTGCATGGGGTCGGATAGAAAAAAAAAAGAGCAGAAGGGGCGTAAGGGAGAGGAAAAAGCTTGAAAGGATAGGGGGCAAGGCCGGCTTCGGGCTTTTAGGTGGTGTATAGTCATATTGATTGCAAACTTACCAACCAATAGCTACAATACCATATTCCAGCCGGTCATATTGATTTGATTAGCTTACCAACTAGGTAAGCTAGTTATATAGCTTGCTTAGCGCAAAACAAAGTTTAGCTTGCCGAATCCCCAGGTTTTGAAACACTGTTTTCTTGCACTAGCATCATGGTTGGTGTACTTGGTATTTATTTATGTCTATATGTATGCATAATAGCTTTGTATTTGGTTTCACACTCTTTATAATTGACCCTATAGATGGCTTGTTGCATCATTGTACACTTCTGTGCATATTCTTGTCAGTCAACTTATTCTTTCATGTGTGTTGACTCAAAAGGTCAAGAAGCATTCTTTCATGAACTTTATGTTTCCGGAAACCACTTATATTTCCCTCCACCACAGGGCATTCAATAACAGACATCCTGCTCAATTTCTACCCTAGTCCTATCAGAACCTAATGATTAGTTTTAGAACTTGTGGACTTCTATTGGACACATTTTATTTGACTTGCCTTAGCCAGGCCTGGCGTGGACAGGACACCAATCTGAATATGAAACCATTTGTTTGATGGAAGGATGCAAGTGTGACATTTTACTTTTCTATACTTATCTTTCAATTTTAACTGAATTCTTTTTAAAATATTAGAAATTGAAGATTGAGTATTTTTGACAAATGTGACTTTAGATTGAGAAGGCTCGAGTTATGGACATCAGATTTCTGTTTGCTTGGGTGCCGTCTTTTTGTTCCAAATGTGCAGTAATTATGGGCATCAGATTTTTAATTTGCTTGGGTGCCATCTTTTTTATTTTTATTTTTTATTTTTATTATCAGTTCCTTTTTGTATTTTGCACAAGAACAACAATGGGGACGTTTACTGCTAAGTGAAGGGGGTTATTTGGAAATAATTAAAAACTGGTAATCTCTTCCATTGCGGGTGGTTTGGCAGCGGTTTCTTAATAACTGGGTAAAGAAAATGGCTCAGATGAATAGTGGAAGTTACTCCCATCTTTCCCTTGTAAATGGGAAGAGGAAAGAATGGTGCTAATCCTTACAAAGTGTCAGCATCTAAACATGGCTATATGTATATTATCACATAGGTTGACATGTACTTTTTTTTATCCACATCTTGTCTTATTCAAGCTTATAACCTATCTGGCTTTTATGCTTTGACGCTTTAAGCCAAGAGAATAAGCCCCATATGATGGCATTCTCATGTGAGTTTTCTGCATCTTGTCTTGCATTCATCTTCTATACACTACATCCATGCATGTATGGGAGCCATGCTCTCACCGTGACGCATGGATATGCAAATGCATGTAACCATGAGATGGCATGCTCTGATATGACATTGTATCTATGACATGGCATACTCTTATATTGTTGCATATGAAAACATGCTGGCAAGGCTTTTTGTTCCATGCGCAGGGTT